TTTTTTATACTTTTTACATCATACTTTTTTGCTAGTTAAGGTTTATATATGCTAGAATATTGGGAACAATTGACTATATTTAAGGTAGGCAATAAATATTTCGTTGTATGTGAGGACTTGTGGTCGAGGTTGCTGCAGTTTGTATGACTTAGGCAGATTTTTTCTGAATTCCCGTGCAATTTAGTTCTATAGAAGAAATCAAGAAAGTGGTAGCACTGCGACAGTGTCTTGGTCGCAGCGGATGAAAGTTTTTTGGGGAAAAAGTACTCACTTGGGTTTCAGAGGACTGTTAGTTCTTTAGAAGTGATGCTGAGTGAAAGCGGAGATCATTGTGGTTTCTAACGTAGAGCTGGGTTGACAGTCTGCGCAACATTTTTTGACGACCATTCATTGTTGTCAAATGTGGAGGTGATTGACTGTAGTCTCTCCTAGAACCGTTGAAATTTGGAAGACTGTGCTCGTGTCACTCCACGTTGCTGACTTTCTGTGCTTAGAAGCCATCGACACTTCAATTTTAACGAGTATTATGTGAGCGTTATTTGTTTAAAGCCGATTTGTACGTATTCACCTTTTATAGTACAGAAGGAAGTCAACATCATTTCAGTTGACAAAAGGTTGCTCCAGTCAAATACAATGAAAGGGCATTTTTGCGAATGGAACGCGATGTAGTAGCGAGGGGTAAACTGGTTTTTTGTAAGTGACGGATTTCATATAACTGCTTAAGAATTACGAAATAGTTGCAGAAAACATAGCTGTACGGATTATGTCAACGACTTGCAGCCATGAATAAAAGGTTTGTTGTTGTTGGACTGAAAAGCGAAAGTGATGGTGTTTATTGGTTGTTGTGGCAGGTTTGGATTCAGCGGTTAGTTTCAGTGGCATTCTGTAAATGTGCGTCTAGAACTGGTCACCAAGTTCAACTAAGTGTACAACTGATCGAACGTAGTTGGAAATTTTAAGGCGGCAAACGACGTTGATTCTTGGTGACTTCTTTATTTCTCTTTGCACCACTATTTATTGTGCCAAGGATAGTAAAGTTAGATTTGTAAAAGAGTTGAGGCAGAGGAAATGGATGACTGAAGAGTAATTTTTAGCTAAAATTATTTTAAAGTTTTGCAAATTTGTTTGTTTCTTGGAGGTTTGTGGTTAATAAGCCTTTCTTTTTTTTTAAAAAAAGATGGGTACGGAAGTAGGGAATGCCAGAGTTTCGGGTTTTTCTGATTTTAAGGAGTTTAAGTTTCAGTCGTTTATCATTTATAATTTTTGATTTTTCCTTTTCTTTTTAAATTAATATAAATTTTTGCAACTACTGGGGCCTGTTGCTCTGTTGACTGGACAACTGTATTTGTTTCTCTGCCCAAATTTTATCAGAAAGCACTTTAAATCTTATGATTCACTGTTTTCTACCAACACAATTTTGGCCACATTTTGAAAAGAGAAAGGTATAGAAAACAATTTCAAAACTTTTTTGGACGGGATATTTCAACTTTTATTTCATTATTATATAATTTTATATCAAGACTTTATTTGAAATAATAGTTCAGATAATTTAAAATCTGTTATATGATTCACTTTTTATATCGCAGACAGACATGTGTCCCTTTGAAGCGAGTGTTTAAATGGTTGCCGATATTTAGAAGTTTACATAAACGCATGAATTTTTCTGAAAATTTGTTACAAAAACTTGAAATTTCACAAAATTTTTTCATGCTTATTCATTTAAAAGGAATAGGCGGTACGTATCTTCACAAACGAAGATGAATTTGAGGAAAAAAGTCAACGGGTTTTTCAGTCTGATTTAGTACTCGAAAACTTGCATTTTAATTCAGTTCACGCTGTTGAGTACTGCATCTTCCAACAGCCATCACAGAACTGTTAGAGGTACGATGCAACTCGGGTCCAAAATCTTAACGGAGAACGATGATTTGGCTAATATTTTTATAGTATTCTGCAACGGAAAAAATTTTTAGTTAAGCACGTCCCTGGTCACCGGTGAAAATGTTATGAGAAAGTACCTGAAAGACTTATATTATAATGTTGGAGAAAGCAGTGAAAAATATTGGGAAATTTTTGAGTTTGTCAAAAAAGCTATAAACTTCAACTTCATATCAACTTTTTCTCTACGTTTATTCAATATTCTCGAAGAAAAATACTCTGCTTTTGTGGGTAAAACTTTTTGAAACTTGAACTATGTAACTAAAAAATCGGTGGGAATTGGTATCTTAAGCGTATCAACCAATAATTTTGAGAAAATATTGTTAAACTGGTCTACTTTCTATATATTTGCATTACAGATGGGGATCAAAAAGCAAATTAAAATGAATGCTTCCTTAGGAATCAAGGTCTTAAATTGTAAAATTCATTTCACGGCATCAGATTCATTCGCGGTAAATTACGTAACTCAAAGATGTTGTACATTTTAACGTATAAACTTTTCAAAGTGATTGACTATTCTTCAGTGCTTTATTGTACCTCGTTGCACATAACTTCTTATAGTGACCAAAGCAGTGCTGTGAAATTCTGTGGTAAAAAGACACTGAAATCAGCAAAAAGAGTAGTGATGGGGCAAAATTATCCAAATGAGCTCAGAACTATCCTACAAAATTCCGTTCCTGTTGGAACGGTTGCAAGGAAAGTGGTTTAGTTTGTGACCTGGTTTGCAAACTCGATTGAGTGCCTTGTAAATTTCCTCAGTGGAGACTAGTACTTTACCAAGTCCTGAATCTTTCGGAAACTAACTAATCATCAAGTAAAACAAAATTTACAAAAACCTGCTGTAAATAGAAAAATTGCAGAAGGATAACCAAGTTGCGCAAAAATTGCTCTTTTATAGAACTTTAGTGTGATCTGAGTTTGCTACCAGAGCACTTTCTGAAAAATATTTTTTCAGCCATCCAATCCTAGTTTAAGGCTTGCAAGTCGACGAAATTTAAAAACAAGAAAGTTTTGGGACTGGAAAAGACTCTCTGTAACTTTATACGCAAAATCTTGGAACATTTTCAAGCAGAAGGGACAAGTTCGTTTTCAAGTAAAGAAACACCATTTAATATTATGCGGATTTTATGGGAAAAATTAAAGAACTATTTTAAACATACAAACTGTAGGGCACAAAAGTTAAAGATTTAAGCATTTGATTTGGTAGTTGTTACTATTATTAACAACTGAGCAGTGGTTTTCTTACGCTGACCTCAAGTGTTAACCCCCTGCTCGTCTTCGTTCAACCAGCCCCCGCTTTGTGCATTCATAGATTCAAGATGACACTCCAAGATTCATCTGGAGTATGGTTATCACACTTCAATTGAAACCCAAACAGTACTGTCTCCTCATCCTAAAAAAGTAAAATGTAGCTTCCAAAAAATCTAGTTTTGAGACATCAAAAAAATTATGTGAGACCTATAGGATAATTACCTAAGATAACCTGCACGCTGGTTGCCAGCGCCTTTGCAAAAGTCACCGCTTTTGACAAGAACTAAAGAAGGGTACTTTGACAAGTAATTTTGATTTTGTTACAGAACACGCTTTTTCAACTTTCAGAAATCTATCCTTCTGTATTGTCAAGTAGAAAAGATAATATTCTTTTATTTCTGAAGTTTTGAGATGAAGTTTGTGTTTTGAGCCACTTTTATTAACGACAAAATTAAATTAGAAAACCCAGTTGTGAGTGTTTATGATTGAAATAAGTTATTTTTTGAGATATTAAAACTTCAAAACAAAATGGAGACGGTATCTCAAAAAAGGCTGTAGTTTAAAAGCATCTAGTAGAAAAATTTTAACTTTTGTACTTGGAAAATGTTGTTGAAAAACTTTTTCTCTTTCCCTTCTTTTCGAATTATTACAATAACTGTTAGAAACTATTTTATTAAAAACTTTGGTAATTTTTTCAACTCGTCATTTAGGCCTGTATTAGAGTTAACTGGATCTGGAGACACTATGGATTAAGATTTCTTTTCTTATTGTTTTTTGTTCTTTCTTCCAATTATGCTATTGTTTTCGAAATATATCCTCCAAAGAAATTCAAATCTTGTTTGTTTTCTAGTCACTAAAAATTGTGCTGCCAAAGAGCGGCAACCGAAAAGCTATAGCTGATGAGATGAAAGAAAGTAGTGCGACCGAAAGGAGGAAAAAAATGGATAGCTACCCAAATTAAACCAAAAAAAGTCGTTAGTCGCCAACAAAACTTGTAAAATTGATGAAATTAACATTTTTTGACGTGAAATGAAGCAGTCGCCAGAAAATTTTGAAGAAGACAGGATTAAAGTCAAATAGTCTTCTTTTGCTTTGCTGTTGTTAGTGAGCAATGAGAAAAAAATTGGATTTTTTTGAAAACCTTTTCTAATGCGTTACGATGTACTGGTTCCCAATTTTCTTTTAAATTCTAATGGTTTTTTTCAAATTTTCTGTCTTAATGACCACCTCTAAAGGCTCAGTATTTGAAAGTTGAAACACTAACTCCAGTAAGCTAAAAAGATATAATTCTTCAGATCAGGTACTGTGCTGTTGGTGGAGTGCTGCAACTAGGTAACAATTGGGGTCATTTGGAAACTGTAGAGGTAAGGGAACCGATTCATGGGTCATACTGTTGAAACTATCCGTAGCGACTTGATCTATTTTCAAAATTTCATTGCTGTAAGATAGGTTTTTGCATGTTCGCGTCTAGGAAGCTAATTTTTCACATTTTGAAGCAACCGTGTGATTTTCCGTTACTTTTTTATTTAGACATGTTTTTTTCCATTCTCCGACGTCATGATTTTGGATGAAGTTAGTTTGTTGTAGGACTATGTCAATGAGGCGGTTTTTCCCATTTTGTTGGTATGCCTTCCAAAAGCTCATAAACTTGTCTTAGTTCAGTTGTTCGCGCTCCTTTTAAACCTCCTTTCGCCGCAAAAAAAATTCTTTTGAGAACTATGGCTACTTAGAAGATAGTCTGTTCGTATTTTGAAACAACAACCTGCAAATATTCAGAAGATTTCGTGCTCCCAGTGTTTTTTTTAAACATCCAGTTCTTCTGTAGCTCGTTTTTTTTCCTGACCTTTGACTTTATTCAGACCTACCAATTATCATGTCTTTCTGCATACATGGGTCCGTTTAAAATTGGATTTTAGGCAGAGACCATAATTCTTATTGATTTGTTTTGGCTTCCAAAAGAAAGTTTCCAAACCCTCAGAAAATAGGGGGAGAGATTTACTTCTTTTATAAATAACTAGAAGGCAGGGATGATTTTGTGAACGCTTTTTATATTAATAAACTTGTAGTGCTTTTTTTCCAGTGTTTTCGACTTCGATGAATACAGTTTTTCTAACTGCTCTGCAAGCCAATGTTCTCCCTTTTTCAAACGTTGTTCCGGACACTTTTAACTTTATGCTGCATTTACTTTCCCAACAAACTTAAACGAAGACCACTTGGAACACGCAGCAAACAATGCGATACTCTATGATACTAAGGATCGACTTCAGACTGCCAGCATTTTCAGAAATTTTTCTTTGAAGCCTATAGGAGTGTCCATTCGCTTTATTCATCCCTCTAAATTGGTACACTGCGCACACTCAAAGAATTCAGAAACCCCAGCTTTACCACTTTCCGACTTGCCATATGTGTGGACGAAAAGTTAAGGAGAACAACAGGGATCACTGCACCAGCTATTTCTGTAATTTTGGAGGCAACGTTCGTATCTCAATCTTTTTGGAAGAATGGTTTCCTTCCTGCCCATATGCTGTATTAGTGGTCGAAATGTTATCTGAACGCAGCCGAGAAAGACATTAAAGATCTCGTCATCTCACCACAATAATTATTTCAATTTTTTCCGAACCAGTTTAGGATTGAACTTCTTCCTTGAATTGGTGATTGAACCGGAACGGAACCGAGAATACAAGGTCAGGAGAGTTTGAGAAGGAAAAAAAAGCGGTTCAGAAAACAATTCTGTGACGCTTGAAAACAGCATCAGGAATGCAATAAACGATGAAGCCGACCAAAGAGTAACGAGAACTTTTTTAAATCTCGACTCTTCCTTTTTATAGCTACCAAAGTATTACAGTAAGAAACGAGCGAAAAGGCTTTGGAAGTTGGCCAATTAGAAGTTTTATGCCAGAGCAACTGATAACTGGTCAGTATTAGATGCGGGTACCACCTACTTGATTTGGGAGATAAAATTTTGAGTGCTTGAACTGCTGAGTAAAAACTTGAAGTATTGATTAAAC